AGGGATGAAGGTCACTACTTACTCACAGGCTGAACAAATCAAGCTTCTTCAGAAATTGCTCAGCGCTACGTTTTGGATAACTTCCCATTTTTCTAGATGGGAATTAGTTTGCTTGTCCTACTATTAATAGATAGTAAGCTCTCTGAGAGGGCTTTGTTGCCAGACTGTCTGCATTCAAATCCAGGCACCCTATTGCGTGGCCTTTGGCAAGTTATTTGGCCTCTCTACCTTAGTTTCCCCAGATGCAGAACAAGAATGATAACAGCACTTTGCTAGGGTTGTTGTAAAGATTTAACAGACTAATATAATGTGATGTGTCCAGATCACACCTAGCACATAGTAATGCTGGCTGCTGTTATTATTTAAGGATAGTCTTACTACTGACTGAAATCACACTCTCTACCCTTCTAGCGCGAGAAGGGCTCAACAAACACTTGATTTTGTGTTTAGCATAAAAAGCTACTTTATAGCCAACTAGAATTTATATCCTAAGCCATATAAATGTCTTAGAAAATTGATACCAAGATGTTTTACCTTTAATCTCTTCCAGATTGTTATACAAAGACAGATCCAAGACTTGGCAAACTTCATGCCAAAGACTCTGTATTATTAAAAGTAATATAGCAGCAGTGATTCCCCTCTCCCAACCCTGCCATCTAATTTATAAAGAATATAGTCACAGAACAGTATAAAAGAAGCTGATCTGTCCAAAGGAAAGGCAGGCATCTTTAGGAAAAAAAGGAGAAAAAATTTTATTTTACCGGCCATTCTTGTGCCTGCCTTTTTCAAACATTCTGACAATAACTAAAGAAAATAGTCCAAGTCAGAATTAGAAAGCTTTGTGAGGTTTACAGCAAGGTGGCAAACTAAGTGCTGTGTACTGCTACAGAGATAAAAATTTTAAATTGGCAAATGTCATGTGAAATTTTATAAAAGTAGGGACTGCCTTGGATTCAAAGATATCTTTGAAGAACCCCAGTTTCCAAATGGTACAGAAAGTACCAGGTAGGGACCTCACAATGAGGCCCTTCCGGAGTACAGCAACAGCCCGAGCACCAAAATCACAACAAAGAGGGCTTTTCAGGTCTGGATGAGAACAGCTTTCTGTGGAAACCAAGGGACAGAAAGAGCTAAACCCTCTTCATGACAGATGTGGCATCAGAGATATCTGTTTTCCTCGCCTGGTTTCCTAGGCAATCAGAAGTGGGAGGTGAGCAACGCTATGATGCTGATGTGAGATGGCACACTCGCCACCTGGACGAGAAACTGAATCACGGGTTTGAATGCACCCACAGCCCTTCTCCTCCTGCAACCCCTCCCCCATTCTGCCTAGGAGCTAACTGGCAATTCTGAACACAAATCATATCGCTCTGAGTTCTCCTGTCTTTCAAAGGAAACCTTCTCATGCTCAAGGGATTCAGTATTTTGGGGGCTATTATATAACCTGCTGCTTAAGGAGCAGGGGCCATTCACTGTGAGTGATCTTGTGAGTTCGTCTCTGTGCACCCCAGGCCCTGCCCATCAGGCCTGCCTTCCTCAGGAAGCCTTTCCTGACCCGCGTAGCCCACAGAGACTTCTCCTACGAAGACTGCTGATGGTTTTGAATGTAGCGGCGTGGATAAACTGATGGCATGGGTCACACACCACAATGTAAGTGTCCTATGTCCTCAAATGGACTGGAGCCTCTGAGAATAGGATCACGTCTCCTCCACATTCCATTAGTAGTGAGGTCAAAAATGACTCTTGACAAGAGCCCATGGAGAACGGAGAACTGCTCACCTCTGTCAGTGTTTTCTTTGCTTCATTATATCTGGCTTGCAGGTTGGTATGACTTGCTTGCAGCTGTAAACGAAAGATAAAAGAGGTTTGCTCTTGTTCTGTCTTTATGAGACCATCCACAGATGTGGACGGTATCCCCACTGCACAGATGAGAAAATGGAAGCTCAGAAAGATTTAAACTGAGCAAATGGGAAAATTTTAGAAGGGTGACCAACAAGAAACGAAAGGGAAAAAAAACTCATGTTAACACCAGGTACATGTCAGGTAGTGTTCTAGGTATTCTATATAATTTGTATCACTGAATCTTTATATTCAATGGAAAAAGACATTATTCTTATTTTACAGATGAGAAAATAAAGACTCAAAGGAGCTAAATTACTTAACTAAAGTCTCATAGCTGATAACTGAAGAAGACAGGATCCAAATTCAGGTCTATCTGACTTTTCTGTATGGCTACAGTCAATTCAGTTAACCAACCTGCCTGTTTGCAGAATATAAACTATGTTTCAGCACTCAAGATTCTAGTATAGAATATGACTGGTTGGCAAATAATGCCAGATAGAAGAAAGGATTCAGGACTTCAACACTAAGAGAAAGAAAATGAAGTTACTTTACTGTTCAAAGTTACAGAACTATAAACTCACACCTCAAAAATGTCAATTCCCTTTTGCTTACTAAAAAGGTATCTCCTTGTGTTTTAACTTTTAGAAATCTGAAAGCATTCCTCTAAATGCTCAAAGGGTTTATACATTTTTATATTTGAAAAGAGGAACAGGCAGAAAACTACCTTCAGACTCTTTAGTTATTACCTAGCTACAAATTAACAATGAGAAATTTTAACCTATATCTCAATGATTACTTCAACATAACTTGCCTCATCCGTGAGCCTGTAAGTAGCCTACTAAGAGTTGTGTCACCTTCAGAAGTCGTCACTTCTAAATTGTACTTCTAGTTACCTGTCTTCATGACTGGTTATACTTCCAACACGGCCTATCAAGAAGCCAACTCAATTTGCCTTTGCTTTGCTGGTGAGGAAGCAGGTGGGCTCTGGCATCTCCCTTTTCAAAGGGAGCCATATGTGCAATGAGAACTTTTATTAACCTATTGTGTAATTGGTAGATGAGGGTACTTCTGGAGTAAGTTTAGCTTTCTCTTGAAATTCTAGTGATTTAACTCTTGAGGCTTGCTGGTCTGAATGTTGGTGTCTCTCCAAAATTCGTATGTTAGAACCTAATACCCAATGTGACAGTATCAAGAGATGGGGCCTTTGGGGAGTAATTAAATCAAGAGGGCTCCATCCTCATGAACGAGATAAGTGAAGGGGCCAGAGTGAGCTCCCTCTCCCCCCACTTCCACCTGGTGAGGAAGCAGCAACAAGGTGCCATCCAGGGAGCAGAGAGTGAGTCCTCAGCAGACACTGAATCTGCTGGTGCTTTGGTCTTAGATTTCTCAGCCTCCAGAATTGTAAGCAACAAACTTCTGAAGTTTATAAATCACCATGTCTAAGGTATTTTGTTAGAGCAGCCCAGACAGACTAAGACAAGGCTCCAGGAAAGGGTCCTGGGGTTTTCCCACCTGTTTCACCCACCTTCCTGCCCACCTCTCACTCCTGCACCCACCCACTCACCTAACATTTACCCAGGGCTCTGCTCAAATGAGGTCTATGGGAGAAGGAGACAAACATGACACAGTCTTTGCCCTCAAGGAGCTGGACTGGGGGACTAAAGCATCAGAAGAGCTGAGGCAGAGGCAGGCCCAGGGGAGGCCCATGGGAAAGAGAATCAGCTCCTTCATCAGAAAACCTTCACCAACAAAGACTCACGCCACTTGGATCTTGGCAGGGAAGTAGAAGCTTGCTAAGAAGGGGAGACTCATCATCTCTTTTCTTCTCTTTAATTAATTTAACTCAGAAGAACTCTCTTCAATTCTTCATCTAACCATTTTTTCTTAAATGAGGAGTGTCCCAGTAACTTAGCTTAGTTTTTATCTTGCTGGAGTCCTCTAGGACTCTCCTACCTCTATTTTCTTCTTCATCACTAACCCCTAGACTTACCCTAAAAATTCAGCCATGGTTAACACCTCCTTTCTGGATTTATCCTTTCACCATCTCAGGTTGCTTCTCAGCTACTTACTAGCTGTGCTTCATCTCCATTCTTTTGCAGCACATTCCCTTACTGGACCAGGAGATGTTCATTACTCCTTCCCTGGTGGCCACCCTTCCTCCTATTTCTCCGTAGGGCTAAAACCCCCTCCACGGTCTGGTCCCCAAGGCCACAGGTGTATCTCAGTTGCTTTCTGCCTGCATGACCTTGTAAAAGAGGCTGTGGAATTTAAAGAGTTTACAATCTCTCATATACTATTGGTAGAAATGTACATTGGTAAAATAATTGGTGAACAGTGTGATGGTTTCTAGCAAAATTGAAAATGTGTATTTTTTTGATCTAGCAATTCTACTTCCTAAAGTCTATCTCATAGAAACACTTAGATATTTGCACAAAGATGATTGCGCAAAGATGTTCATGATAGCATAAATTTGCGATTGGAAAAAAACCCTGGAAAAACCTACATACCCATGAATAGGGGACAGGCTAAATAAATTATGTTACATATATACTATGTAACATTATTCAGTCATTAAAAACAATGAGTTAGATTTATATGCTTAAATCTTGGCTCACTAACAAGCTGTGTGACTACAGGAAAACTACTTAACTTCTTTGTATGTGTTTCCTGATTTGTAAAATGAGGATAATAATAGTACCTTTTTCATAAGAATGTTGTGTGAACCAAATGAGTTAATTTTGAAAAGCAAATAGTACTTACTAAGCAATAAAAAAGCACTTGCCATTACTATTACTGATAGATGAAAAACAAACTTAATTTTGTAACTATACCAACTCACTCCCCCCAGTTGAATGGGCATATATAAGTTTTGCAAAGGCCTAAGAAAAGGTTCACCAAGAAACAGCAGACACAAATAGTGGCTTGCTCTATTCCTTTTTATCTTTATATAGTCCCATACTATTTGCTTCAATTTATATCGAGTTTATCCCTATAATTAAAAAAAATGCTCAAAGCACTTGAAAATTCATAGAGACAAAAAAATGTGTTTGGCATACCTGTGTGTACACACACACGGAATATATACTCTCTCCTGACTCTATTCAGTGCCCACCAAAGATGAGTGTGGGGTGGATGCATGGGGTTGAAAGAGGTAGCCAGGGAGGTAGTCCAGGAGAGAGCTGGAATTGAAGTTCAAGAGAACTGAATTGCTGTTTGCCACCGGTGTGACTTCTGGCAGACAGAATTACAGACTATTAGAATAGCAAAGAATTATGGTGACCAGCTAGTCTAGGGGTGAGCAACATTTTGTAGAAAGGCTAATTTAGGGACAGTAACAAAGTTTAGTGGGAACAGTTGTTGTTTGTTTGTTTTGACTAAACAAATTAAAATGGGTCTAGCAAGTTACCTGGAAAAAAAATACATATTCTTACAGCTCAAATCATTCTTTTTGGGGAAAAAAATGTTAATGAAAATGCTGATATTGGTTTTTAATCTTTAAAAAACATTAATACCAAGGCTTATTTGAGAAATTTTCTAATCTTTTATTCCTTTACACTTGCATAAAGCTTTCGTGTTTATATTGCATTCATGTTTATATACTCATTTCATCCTGAAGCCACCTCTCTAGATGCCTTTTTATCATCTGAGAACCCTAATCACACGTGCTATGTGATCCTGGGCAAGACTCTCTCTCTCTACCTCATTCACTTGGCCTGACTACATGGCTAGAGATTACTGCATATGCTGGTCATTTTTAATTACATTACCCATAGCAATAATGACTATTGTCTTTTATTGAGAGTCCGCTATATGTCAGGCAGCATGCCTAAAAAAGAATAGGCTCTTGGTACATGCATGTTCTTAACCAACTGCAAAAGAGACTCAAGAGTCAGGGAGGAATGTCAGCTGGCCCAAGAATGTGTTGGGACTACCATTTAGAATGAGGCTCAGCATTCCTTCTCCCCAAGTTTAGATAAGAGGTGGAAGCAGACATGCACTCACACTGAGATATTTTAGCTCCTGGAGTCTGCAATAACCTCAAAACTATCCTCCCTCAAGGATAAAGACATTATAATAAAGAAGGCTCATCCTTGATTCCTACTCATCCTGATTCTGTGATGAGTACTTTTTGAGTCAATCATTTTCATATTCTTATCACTAGCAAGGGTCAGAGACTATACTCTCTGAGCTAAGAACTCATTAAAACATCTAAACACATAACCGAACAGAACCAAATCATAGTCAATCTTTGAACTCTTCTTTGCTTACAATCCAGAGCATTTTGGCAAAACCAACCTATTGTTTGTTCAGCCATGATAGAACAAATTCTAGTAGAACAAATTCACACAAGAAATGATTGAGCAGGACCATTTGATATGTTAATATCTTTTGAATATGTAGGACTTGAAACTGAATAACTGGTACCCATATTTAAAAAATCTTTTATTATAGGAACTACTGGTGAATCTTCAGAAAGCCATATTCATTCCCTTAATCTTCTACTGTGTGTATTTTTCTAATTAAATCTTACTGCCAATGCAACTGAAGCACATAACAACTTTCTATCATCCAACGAGTGTTCCTGAGTCAAATTCCCCAGTTTCCTCTTATGTCTACTTTCTGGGGCAAATATGTGAAGGTCTTTCTAAAACAGTCTTATCTGTCACCAAGTATTACAGGATGCCATCTCCTATAGCTCTCTAAAAAATGATCCAGTTTCTTCCATTTCCCCTGCCATCAATAGTACCATTCCATGTCTGAACTACTGCATCAGCTTCCTAATGGTTCTCCTTGAACCCCTTCTCACTCAGGTCCAGTTAATTCATCCTCCTACAGCAAACAGAACAGTCTTTGCAACATGCTACTCTGATCATGCCACTCCCCTACTTAAACCCTCCAGTGGCTTCCATTGTCCTTAACATGGCCTGGAAGGTCCTATTTGATCAGACTCTGCTGGCCAATCACCTCACTCATGACTCTCCAGCTACAAAACAGAAACTGGCCAAGACTCTTCCTTTCTCTGCTCTGTGTTCGTGTTGTTCCATAAGTCCCCACCTAAGTCCTCCACACCTCCCACACAGACTTCCTGCCCAGGAATGCCCACTTATCTTTCCCATCTCAGTCCCCATGACCTGAGGCTAGGTCAGGTCTCCCTATCAGTCATTCTCTCAGCTCCAGAGATGTCTCCTTCAAGCACTTATCACAGCCACGATTAAATTATGATGAGTGTAATATATTGGTTTAGTGTATGCCTCCCTATTAGACCTTAGGATCTTTGATAGCAGAGATCATAACCTGTTCTTTATTCATCCTTAGAGCTTAGTTCAGTGCTTAGCACACAGCAGTGCTCAGTAAATATTTGTAAACTAATGCTACTTTTGCCCTATGACCTTCTCCTATAACAGAGGTTGGTAAATTTTTTCTGTAAAGGACCAGACAGTAAATATTTTAAGCTCTGTAGGTCATATGGTCTCTGCTACAACTACTCAACTCTGCCACTGTAGCTTGAAAACTGTCACAGAAAATATGTAAACAAATGGGTGTACAAAATGAGATACCATCTTACTCTAATTAGAATGGCCCTTATTAAAAAGTCAAAAAACAATAGATGCTGGTGCTGATGCAGTAGAAAGGGGATACTTATATACTGTTGTTGGGAATGTAAATTAGTACAACCTCTATGGAGATCAGCATGGAGACTTCTCAAAGAATGAACAGATCTATCATTTGATCCTGCAATCCTTTACTGGATATCTATCCAGAGGAAAAGAAATTATTATATCAAAAAGATAACTGTACTCATATGTTTATTGCAGCACAATTCACAATTGCAAAGATATGGAATCAACCTAAGAGTCCATCAACCAATAAGAGGATAAAGAAAATGTTGTGTGTGTATGTGTGTGTGTGTATATATATACACACACATACACACACACCATGGAGTACTACTCAGCCATAAATAAGAATGAAATAATGGCTTTTGTAGTAACTTGGTTGGAACTGGAGGCAATTATCCTAAGTGAAGTAACTCAGGAATGAAAAAATAAATGCTGCATGTTCTCACTTATAAGTAGGAGCTAAACTATGGCTACATAAGGGCATGCAGAGTGGTATAATGGACACTGGAGACACAAGAGGGGGAGCTTTGAACGAAGTGAGAGATGAAAAATTACCTATGGGGTACAATGTACACTACTCGGGTGTTCGGTACACCAAAAGCTCAGACTCCACCACTATACAATACATATATGTAACAGAGTTCAACTTGTACCCCCAAATCTATTCAAAAAAATGGTGCACATACACTCTAATAAAATTTTATTTACAAAGACAGGTGGCAGCTGGATTGGCCTGAGGGCTGTAGTATGCCAACCCCTGCTCCGGAATCTCCTTTGCCCGATCTATCACAAACATCTTGAATAAAATTATAAGAAGAAAACACCAACCTCTTCGAGATGTTTGGTCTTCTGCATAATCTGCTTGTTTAAGGAAGTAACTTTCCGGTGATGTAGCTGGGAGGTTCCTAATTTTTCTGGACTTTCTTCGGCTGAAAGTTCAGACTGCTGTGGGAAGAAGAAGGGAGGGCAAATCCAAACATTTTAATTAGCTCACCTTGATTCATGTAATCAATCCTTGCTCAGCTGGAGCAAAACACTAATGGGCAGTCAGTTACACCAAGCCAGGGCATCTACAGGGCCCTGTTCAAAGAAGGAGATTCTGAGACAATAACAAAACCCCTATCAATGGAATGTGCATTCCTGGTAGAGGGAATTGCATATGCAAAAGCACAGAGATACATAACTGTGGTCATATTGATGCCATATAGGCAATAAGGTCTTAAATTAAAGGGTCTTAAATAGGGGAATTAGATGGTCATAGTAATACTTCATAGGGGCATACTGCAGTTATCAAGAATGACAAATTGATTCATTTTTATCAAAGTAGCATAAACATATAGTTTAAAAGTCTAACCACTCAGAAGCACTTAATAATGAAAAATCAGTCTCCGAACTAATTTCCCTGCATCTGTGGTCCCACTCTCTTTCAATCATTTCTTATTTCTGTCTTCTAGTGTTAACAGAGGATAGATTTGAGAGGGATAAAAGTGGCTGAGAGAGGCCAGGTAGGAAAGTTCTGCAACTGTGTGAGGAGAGACTGGAGGAGGACTGTCAGGACTGGAGGTGTTTGAGGGAGAGAATTCTGGACGGGGTGATGTGGTGGACATGGCAACAGTTCCCAGGAGAGTCACGGTTCTTGTAGAAACTTCATAAAGGGCCTGGCATGGTGGCTCAGGCCCTTAATCCTAGCATTCTTGGAAGGCTGAGGTGGGAGGATCGCTTGAGATCAGGAGTTTGAGACCATCCTGAGCAAGAGTGAGACCCCCATCTCTACAAAAAATAAAAAAAAATATATAAAAAAAGTAAAAAATAATAAAAAATCAAATTAAAAAAAAGAAAAAGAAACTTCATAGAGAAGGAAGCAGCTTGGTGTTGACACTGAACACAAACACCTACCTCAAGACTCCTGTGAGAAACCCCAGCAAAAAGAAACAGGAAGGTGGACCCTGCTGCAATAGCGTCCTTAAAATACCTCTGGATGATCATAGATAGCTTTATTAAACAGCCAAACACCCACCATAACCATATCTCCTTCTTTACAGTAAATACCCCAACTCCAAGCCAATCATTGATTTTAAGCCCAAGTCCAACAAAATCATTTGGGTATTTGACTTTCCTGGTATGTTTTAACAGTTTGGGGAGCAGGGAGCTTAAAAGTCTGGAATATTTACTGTTCTGTTTGCTGTAGGAGGATGAATTAACTGGACCTGAGTGAGAAGGGGTTCAAACAGAACCATTAGGAAGCTGATGCAGTAGTTCAGACATGGAATGGTACTATTGACGGCAGGGGAAATGGAAGAAACTGGATCATTTTTTAGAGAGCTATAGGAGATGACATCCTGTAATACTTGGTGACAGATAAGATTGTTTTAGAAAGACCTTCATATATTTGCCCCAGAAAGTAGACATAAGAGGAAACTGGGGAGTTTGACTCAGGAACACTCACTGGATGATAGAAAGTTGTTATGTGCTTCAGCTGCATTGGCAGTAAGATTTAATTAGAAAAATACACATAGTAGCAGATTAAGGGAATGAATATGGCTTACCCACAGGGAAAAGGGATGGGAAAGTGAGGAGGAGGAGAAACTGGATGGTCATAACTACCATTTATTTTGGATAAGGAGTTCTCTGAATAATTCAGCAGCATTATTAATGGATGATGAGTGTTCTGCTGCCTAACAACTCCAGAGTTAGGAAACAACCAGCTGGGTACGACTGCATAAAGCAGTAAGGAACATCAATTTCTATCTCATGGACTGGAAAGCCATAAAGAAAACAGAAAAACTAAGCATTTGGTCTTACAACACATGTAGCCTTGAAACCTGGGACTTCGTAAATGTCAACATTATTTCAGCTTTCAAAATTTCTGGGAATTAGAGTTAACTTTTTAAAATTAATATTGGACACATCAAGATATTCAGAATCTGTAGTATGGGACAGGAGAAACTATTTCTCAAAATTATTTGAGGGTATAAAAAGAAGGGCAAAGAGGAAAGACCATCCTCCTCATTTCCAAATCACTTGCCAGAAAAAGAATTATAATTAACTAATTATATCTCCTCCACTTTGACTGGATCACCCTGAACTATGTCATTAATTTGTACACTTTTGTATACTATATATTTAACAGCTTTCTTCTTGTAGCTAATTTCAGCTTTGGGTTTTAACATCCAACTTAGATTCCTTGACATTGACTTCCAAAGTGTCACAGGCATATCCTCAGCAGCAGTTTACTTTAGTAGAATTACATAAACCTTCTATTCATGATTTATTGATATCTGAAACAAAACTAATTCCTCATTCCCTGGAAGTCTCCACATGGTATGTCTCTGTGTGTGATGTGAGGATTATTCTTGAGTGTCCTGATCTCTTCCAGCTGTCTGTCTGTCTTCCAGACTGAGATGTGGGAAGGCAGGCTCCAGTGGATGCATGTATCACTCACCTACCAGACTTCTTCCAGTCTGCGGAACTGAGTACACTCACTCAATTCTGTTCTGAAGCTCTGGCATAGCTGCGATGATGCTTCCAACTCCAGCAGGTTTTCCTGCTGATCAACTGCTTTTATGGCCAAAGTACGAAGAGAATAAAAACTGCATTCCTCATGCAGCCTCCATACTCTCTTATTAGTACATCTCTCACACATACAGATTTGGTTTAAAACTATGACCTTCGAACTTCACTTTACAAGAACCCTTTTCCCAGGAAAACCAGTAGCTATCTCAATATCAGAAAAGAAGATTTACAGGCTGGCTGACTATCTCTCTATGTAGATCTGAATTTTGAGTCACATGTTCCCTCAAGATCCTTGCAGGGGGTCTGTGAGGTCAAACCCCTTTTCATAATAATACTAAGATGTTATTTGCCTTTTCTATTCTCATTTTCTCATAATTACACAGTGAAATTTTCCAGATGTTACATGACATTTGCTATTATTGCTTTTATGTTAATATGCAATGTTTATTATTGTTATTTGTAAATGAAGTAATACATAAGCTATTAGGTCCTCAGTAATTTTTAAGAGCCTTTAAATGCATCCTGAAACTAAAAATTTTGAGAACCACCATTTTAATCTAAGGAGCTTGGCTCACTTGGGAATCTACCCACCGATTGGGCATCTACCTATTGACTGGGACAGCCAACAGTCAACAGAGTGGGCCCACCAAAAGGCTGGCCATCACTTATATAATACTGAGACAGGAAAGTTCCCTCTGATTCTCCTCTTTTATTGGACCAGAGATTCAGAGAACCATATAAACTGAGAGAAAATGCTTGCTCTTATTGCTAGGTAACAATTTTCAGTGCTCTGTAGAGTCCCTTAAATTCACACTTAAAAAGCATTAATGCACACTAACATTGGCATATTGAGTACCACTTCCCTAGTCTAATTAAGGAAAATATATGCACATGTGCACGCCCATATTCTATGTAAATTTTTGAGTTCCTCCATTCATCTTTGAGTTTAGAGACAGTGTTTTGGGAAGCTGCTTTGTTTAATGGGAAGGTATTTTTGGACAGATAAAACAGTTTATTCCAGAGCAGAAATGAAGAGAATTTTTAACTTCGTCAATGGAAAGCTGACTGCTCCATTTTTCAAATACACTTTTTATTAACTAATCTAAATTTTTTTGTTTCTTTCACATACCCTCCTCAAAGCCAAGAGAACTCAGGCTGATGAAGACAGAAACAGGTCCTTAAAGCAGGAGGGCACATCCAACAGCTCATTTACTGAAAGTTAGGATGAGAGGGAAAGATCAAGATGACAAAGTTGTATCCTGAACAAGAAGACAAAGTTGGACAGATGCAGAAGAGGAGAGGTGGCTTTATACTAAATCCTTGATAGAAAAAAATTAAATCTTGGGGCACCTGAACTGATTTCTACTTGTGAAATGTGGTATCTGTCAAAGAACGACAACCATCTACAAATATTTCATTTGTGTTTACACTGGAGGGAAGACTAAAGTGCCAATCTAATTTTGTTCAACAATTTCAGATTAAGAACGTGCTTTCAAAGCCACAGTGTGGATTAAGATGACTTCTAGTGCAGATTCAATGTTTTCTAATAATTGACAGATATTTACAACTTCTATTCCTAGGGGAAACAGATTTAAATGTCACTCAATAATATTGGTCTAGTTCAAAATGTTAAATTTCTAAGAGAAACAAAAAAATGATTATTTTAGCTAAAACTATATGTTTTTATAATTGAAAGAGACCAAAAAGGTTATATACATATCAACCTTCTTCCTAATACAGGGATCTCTCCTATATCACCCCCATACCCCACCAAAATATGGTCACTAAGCTCACAATAATAAAGAATCCCTATCACATGAGGGTGCCAGAAGTTCTCCACGCTGAACAGAGGGACTTAATTTCTGGCACCTTGACTGACTGTTCAACTGAAACAAATAAACAGACCATACAAA